ATGCAACGTTAAAACAGAAGGGGTGAGAAATTACAAGCATATAACCAAACTGCATAATAATATGTAAGCACATAATTATCACATGCATAATCACCAATTCTGCAACTCACACTCCACACAATTTGAATGTCATAATATAACATGTGTGAGATGAAATGAGACTCAACTCTATGACTCAATGCATGTGGTACCAATTGTGAACTCTCATGTTCACTCGCTCCCGATCCCCATAGGATCAGAGCATACAAAAAATCGTTACCATCACCATAGGTAACACTTCACTGATTCTCACATGGAACCAACTACTCGCATTCAATCCCCACCATAAGATTGAGGCTCACCAAAAGCGGACCACCGTCCAAACACCATGATGCATGATTCATAAATGGCATGCAACAACAACAACAACATGTACAATGATATTCACCTTAACCAATGTACCACACTAATACTGGTAACCACACACCATATATATACTACAAGTATTCAGCAATAGCATATTATTAACATACCGGTAACTACATACCATCCACACACATCACCACACCACAACATACAAACCACAAACCATACAACACCATTACGCAAAATTTAAAATCTTTTTCAGGTATTGAGACTATTTTTAAATTAATGTGCACTGAATCAGCTTTCTAACGCTTTGAACGACACCTTAATCAAACACTCAAAACTCAAGTTATGAATTATTTAAGTTTGACATAGCAGGTGTAACCGGTTACATCATAACCAGAAACAGTGAGTAAGATGTTCCCAGTGTAACCGGTTACATCAAAACTGGTAACTGGATACACCCCCCCCCCCTAAAATGCCCAAATCACGCTTTTATTGACAGTGTAACCAGTTACACCAAAACCTATAACAAGTTACATCCTTAAAAAAATCAGTTTTTCTACAATATGGGTTACGAAAATCAGTTCCGAAACATCCTAAAAACCCCAAATTTTCATGGAAAGTCATTTACTCAAGTTTCACACTCTAAATTCCAACAACATACAACATCCTCATTATTCACGCATCCCACAGTTCATCCAAACATATATCATAGTAGCAACATCACACATGTCAAATAATTCACAACATAGAGAGACTAAATTATCCACCCACATGTTATCCTTCAAGCTCTAACAATGGTGCCCTTCTAAGATTCTCTTTCTTTGCCCCAACCTCTTTCTCCTTTTCTCCAAATTTTTCACGCACAATTGATGATTGATTCTTCTCCCTTCTCTCTATTCCTAATAAACCCCTATTTACTAGGTTTTTTCACTTCTACCCTCGCTTACTCCTCTAAGAGCAACTTTAGTGCAAGGTTGTTAAACCAAAATTCTTTATAGCTTACGTTAGTAATAAGGAATTTGCATTATAGTAGTGCTGACATGGCATATGGGATGCTCTAAAACTAGTTTAGTGCTCTACACAACCAACGTACTCTAACTCATTATTTAACATAAATAATAGATTTTTATTAATTATTTAACATAAATAACAGATTTTTATTAACCATTTAATACCATGTGGGGTCAAGTTTTGGTTTCTTATAAACAACCGCCATTAAAGTAAAAACTACTCAAATCAACTTAAAATTTTTTAAATCCTACAAATCACTTTGGACCCACAAAAAGTATCTTAGTTTACCCATTTAATTTACTCCCACTAAAAATGCTCTAACTCTCTATTATGTCCTCATTGTTCTTCCAAATGTCCAATTTACCCCTTTTTCTCTATCCTCCTATTTTAATTAAATAAGTCACAAAAGTCATTTTTATTCTAATCATTAAATAATTCTAATAATTTTAAATTATTCCACTCATCTCTAATTACTCTCCGCACCCCCTCTACCTCATGTCTACACACCTCAACCACACAAGATAATTTAATTGTTATTATTTATAAATCAAATAGATCACACAAAACTCATAAGAATTTCAATAAATGATATAATTTAAATTGGGGTGTTAGAGCAAGATTAACACAGAATACACGTAACAGAGTTAAATCAAAATTATCAGCAATAAATCTTACACAATTTATATGCAAGAATGAGTATTCTCTTAAAACTATATGATTCGGATAAAACCAACCGCCACTAAGAAAACCACACAAAGATATCTTTCCGCCACTAAGACAACCACACAGAGACCTTTACATGTCACTAAGACAATCACACAAAGATTTTTATCTGTCACAATAGTAATCACACAAAAATCTTTACCCTCCATTAAAGAAATCAAACAAGAATTTTTACCTGTCACTAAAAAAAATCACACAAAGATTTTTCCCCATCATTAAGGTAATCACACGAAGCATATAATATGGAATGCATGATGCAAAATAAAAAAAATCCACCACTTAAACAACCACTTAGTAAAATAATGTTCATCTAACCTACATTTGACAACACAATTTATTTAAATTATATATATATATATATATATATATATATATATATATATATATATATATATATATATATATATATATATATATATATATATATATATATATATATATATATATATATATATATATATATATATATATATATATATATTGAAAACTATATAACTGATTTATGTATATCCAATCACGTTGACAAACTTTCACATTATGTGCATATAATTCATTTTCTCATTGGCTTTAAAATATTTCCACTATAGCAACATGTATGGAATACCTGTGCATTTCAAATGTGGTTAGAAACATATAGCTAGACATCATTCCTTTATGTTCATGTATATTAAGGCAGACCAAAGTATAACTAAACATCATTCATGTAAACACATATTTTAAATATAAAATTAATCATATATTACCATGTGCTACTAAAATTTTATAATATCACTACATCACAATATCATGTATGAGATAAATTATTGCACCTCTTAATATTTATACATTAATAACTCTTCAACAGTTAATTCATTGAATAGTTTTTTCACACAAAGTATTGGAAGGTAATTTTGCACTCCCGACACCACATCATGAACATATCCTTAATGCTATTAAATGCATTTGTACATAAGAGTTCAAAATTGATACAAACAATCCAAAAAATAATAATGTACAATTTAAATTCTTGACATCTAGTAATGTTTTAAATTATAATACAAATTTAGTCCTTTTACTTCAATATTAATAAAAAAGAAAAAGGGTAAAAAAAACATGCAATCACATATATTATTTTAAATTTAGATTTTCAATTATTTATTTCGTTAAAATATTAGAATATATATATAATATCTAACTAATTCTTAAATCAAGTATAGTTTAGAGTTGTATGGGGAAAATCCCTTACTTTTATGTGTTTTTCTTTGTGATGGCAATCCTCCTAAAAACTCTTATACGAGCAACAACTTTAAAAAATACTCTTAAAATAATATCAGAACGTAGTAGGAAGAAAAAAATATTTTTTTGGGAGATTTTTTATTCTATAAAATATTTGTACGTGAAACATATGAGAATTTAAAAATGGAAGTTGAGAGGATATTGAGTTAGTGGAAAGAATTATTCAAAGAGAGAGAGAGATTTTGATTTTCATAATAATAATAATAATTATTATTATTATTATTGGAAACAAATCACACTAATATATTCTAAACAACCAAGGCAATCAAAGATCCATCCCTCAATAAACATAAAGAACCTAAATGAGCTAAATCAGCTTATGACATCAATAACCTCCCTATGTGGCGTCTTAGCTTAGGTTTGGTGCAAGATCTATATACAATAACATAAATTGTTTGAGTGCAAACTATGTGACTGCTAGTATCACTGCCAAAACAAGTTAGATTTCTATACTTCCAAGCTCCATACAATTATTGCAGTGTGTTTTTGGTGGATTTCATTCATCACACCTTTTCCTTTTTCTTTCCCACTTCTTCCTACTTGTGTCCATGTAGCATTGTCTTGCTCTGTTGGATGAGTAGGGGTTGTATCTTTTCTTCTACTTAATTGAATGGTTTTTCTTTTGCTATCAATTGCACTATAGGTTTTTGCTTCTCTGGTTTATTGCATTGATGTCCTATTTTTTGACAGACCTCACAGTGTAGAGGTTTCCAATCATATTCCACAGGCTGATTGAATCTTCTGCCCACATTATCTTTTATTGCAATGGTTTCTCCTACCTTTTGTGTCACATAAATCTCCACCAATATTTTTGCATACGGAACCCTGAGCTTATTTGCAGTACATTCATCAGTGAATAAGAGTTTTTCCAATGCACTTCCTATCTTCCCCAAACTTTTACCTTCCCATTGATAGAGTGGCAGTTGTGGTAGCTTCACCCAGATTGGCATTCTTCGCAACATTTCACGCTTGAAACTAAAGTCATGATGCCATCGATAGAGTTTTTCAAAGAAATATCTAATTATGCAGCTAGTGACTATACCAATAAAATCCAATATTGAAAATGAAAATATTAAATTAATTAATTAATTAATTATTTTAGAAAAACTAGTAAATAAAAAAAAAAGAAAAAAAGAAAAAAGACATTCTAGAGGCCATTTAAGCCGCCTTTATTGCACCATTGGTCAAGTGGAGGTGTCCTTTATAACGAATAATAATTAAAATTTTCTGATTTTGATGATTTTTTATTGACTATAAAAATTCCAGTCCCTTCCCTAGTACTCTATTTTCTTCAATGAATTGAAAGGGACAATTTCCCAAAATGATAGGAATGACACACTGCCTATATCCTTACGGACACGTCACTAATTCAAAGAATCCATGCACACTCTTATCACGTGGCATTTCCTTCAAATATCACGTTCTGAATATTCCCTACGAAACCTTGAAAACGAAACGGAAGCTTTTCAACAACACCCACGTGTAAATCTCTTTCTCTAAAACTCTCTTCCTTCTTCTTTCAGAATTCGAAAATTCAAACTACTTACGCTATCACCGTCACCACCACTACCCTGAGATTATCACATAATCGATTCTAAGATTTCATAATCATATTCATAACTCATAATAATCTTATAACGATGGATACGTATTTACAAACTCGAAATTCTGGGATAGTTCCATTTATCACTGCACTTACTGCAACTGCTACTTTACGCGCCAACGATCACGCGTCTCAATCTCACCTCACCGCGGTGAGGCGGTTAAACAACTTGTCCATATTTTCCGGACTCTCGTTTCGGTTTCGAAAATCTCTGAACTCTCGACTCATCGAGAATTCCCCCGGAAACAACGGTTTCGGCGTTGATGATGCGGTTATGGCAGAGAATGTGGTTGTTGCAGAGACGGAAGGAGAGGGGAAAAATGTGAACTGGATTTTCAAGGTTTTTGAACTCAATTCTGTTTGGAGAGGAGAACAAGAGAGTGGCGATGATGATGATGATGATGATGAGTGTGATAGTTGTAGTGTTGATGAAGATGAAGATGAGGTTTGGTTTGATAGAGAGTTGTTTTCGAGAATGCTTCGTAGGGTAACCCTAGTTGAAGCAAGAATGTATGCGCACATGTGTCAATTGGGGAATTTGGCATACTCTATTCCCAATATCAAGGTTTGTTTTCACCATTTTCTTATATGTATGGCAATTTTATGCATTTTCTATTATAGATAAGGAATGTATAAACATATAAATTGCTAGCATTTAGAAAATCCTTCATAGATTAGCATTGATGACACACTAATCTACCAATACTTAAAGGTGTGTCGGAGCCCTAATGTACCGGCATAATTCGAACACATCAAATTATCAATGTAATACCAGTATTTAAATATCGTATCTAGTGTCTACGTGGTGTTTCTTAGCTAATATGTTGGCTTTGTTGGAAATGCATTGCTCTAAGATTTTTTGTTTGACATAGTGTCTGATTTGTGACCTGATTGATTGGATTGAAATTCTGTTTTGCTAGTAAGATTCGTATAAGACAAGGCTCTATTTTTGCATTGATGAGACACTGATCTACCAAATTGAAGGGGCTCGTGTGTTTGACACGATATCTTGTCTAATATGTACTACCAAAACGACACATAAGCACGTGCTTACAATAATATTAATTTTATCAAATTATTATTGTTGTCGTCATGTCAGTTTAATGTTTTGCCCGGTTATACTAATATATGTGTTTTTGTCTGTGGTTCGTAGCTAACCTGAGGCTATGTTGGCTTTGGCAGCGCATTGCTTTTAAGATTTTGTGTTTGATAGTGTCTAAATTGTGACCTGATTGGATTGAAATATTGTTTTAGTAGAAAGATATATGTGGACCGGGCTCTAATTTTGTACTTAAGAATGGAATTCAATTGAATGGTAAAAAGAGATTACGAACGTGTTTACTCAAAATTGTGTTTGTGCTGCTAATTTATATTTTGGCTTTGTTAATTTAGTCAGGAAACCACTTGAAAAGATGTGGTGTTCAATTTGTAACTTCATCGATAGAGAAAAGGGAAATGGCTGCAACAGCTGATAAAAATCTGGCATCTGCTGCAATTCAGAAAGAAGAGACCAGCGAAAAAGACACTGGAGAAAAAAATGAGGAAAAGAATGATGAGTTGATGATAAATGCATCTGCTGCTTGTGAGATTGCAGTGGTTGAAGGTTCAGTTGAAGCAAGTAGCAGGGTCATTGATACTGTGAATGTGATAAACACAGATGTTGGTTCTTTGACGGCAACCACTGATTCAAAGACACCAGTTATTGTTGCAGATGAGGACGTAAAACAAGCTTTTGCTGATGATTTGAATTCAACAAGTTCTACACCATGTGAATGGTACATATGTGACGATGACCAGAGTTCTACAAGATATTTTGTTATTCAGGTGGAGAAAATTAGTTTGAGATATGTATTTATCATGCAATTTATCATATATTTATTTTTTGAAGCTGCATTGCAATATAACATGTATTTATTTCTTGAAGCTGCATGGTAATTCATATAAAATGTTAATAAGTTGGCATTAAAAATTATAGCGAATTTGGGTTTACTTTTGGTAAGCTATCCAACCAATTAATGTTTTGATATGCAGGGTTCAGAATCATTAGAGTCCTGGCAGGCAAACCTACTTTTTGAGCCAGTTCAATTTGAGGTAATTGTTACTTAATATTGCAGTTCAATTTGTGATTCCTCTTATTAAAGGGTTACTCTTAGTGAAATTGAGACAATGAGATACTTCTTTTTTCATAGGGGTTTGATGTCCTTGTCCATAGGGGTATATATGAGGCTGCAAAAGTGACATATCAGCAGATGTTACCTGAGGTTCATGCTCACCTAAACTCTCAAGGCTCTCGCGCAACTTTCCGTTTCACTGGCCATTCTCTTGGGGGAAGCTTGGCATTACTTGTAAATCTTATGCTGTTGATAAGGAAGGAAGTGCCAATGTCTTCTTTGCTTCCTGTGGTAACGTTTGGTTCCCCGGCCATCATGTGTGGAGGTGATCATCTCCTTGAAAAGCTAGGATTACCACGAAGTCATGTTCAAGCAATCGCAATGCACAGAGACATAGTACCGCGAGCATTTTCTTGCAAGTACCCTAACCATGTCACAGAACTATTAAAGGCAGTTAATGCAAGCTTCCGTTGTCATCCTTGTCTTAATAACCAAGTAAGCGCGACATTATTTGACATACTCCCTTCAGTCTTAAGTGTTCTATTTTTTTTTTCAGCCTCTAACTCTATTCTTTGTGAATCTTTTACTGCAGAAGCTGATATATGCACCAATGGGTGAACTATTGATTCTGCAGCCAGACGAGAAATTTTCACCCAGCCATGATTTTCTGCCATCAGGTAGTGGTCTATACCTTTTGAGTGGCCCTCTTTCAGAATCCAGTGACACAGAAAACCAGATCCAAGCTGCTCAATTATTCTTCTTGAACTCCCCGCATCCACTTGAGATACTAAGTGACCGATCCGCCTATGGTTATGGAGGAACCATACAAAGGGATCATGACATGAATTCATACTTAAAATCCATTAGAACCGTGATTCGCCAAGAACTTAGCCAAATCCGCACAGCAGCAAGGAGAGAGCTAAGACGGAAGGTGCGGTGGCCTCTCGTGGCACGACTTGTAAGCGATGCTGACATTGTTGGTGGGAGGTCTATGGTAAGGGTCCGTATAATTCAAGACCAGCCTCCCTTTTCAGGTATTATACAGAAACCCTTGAAAAGGTTCAGTAGGCTTGTTGCATCTCAACATATGCAATTATTTGTGATGTTCTTGTTTCCGGCAAGGTTGTTACTCTTGGAAACATGTAACATGACTAGTATAAGTTAAAAAGTTGGCACATGGTTAGTAATGGTAGGAAAACAGTTAGATGATTCTTTACTCACTGCTCTCAAAATTGAAAGTAATGTGTGTTTTTCATGGTTAGTTATTGTATAGAAACTATTGCTCAAATATTAACACACACAATTTAGCTTGTTTGTCCAATTCCTTTGATATGCACATGTTGATTTACATGTGATTACTTATGAACCAAGATGGGACAATTTTCGTATAGTTAATATGCCATAAAAACTCAGACATCATCTGTCTGTGCAATCTAGTAATTTTAACTTTGTCTAGCAATTAAGCTTGAAAATAGAGTTTCTTTCTTCCCAAATAAACCAACAAGTCAGCCTAATCAATTGAATGCACTGCTTCACCTCCTTTCAGAACAAATGGACACCGCCAAACTAAAGAACATGCTCTTTAAAATTAATAGGTAAAGTACAATGAATGCACAATCAATTTTGCACTTCAACCCAAAGCTTACAAAGAAAAACTACAACCAGAAAACAAATGAGTAACATTCTTCTATTTCCATAAGCACCATAGCACAACAAAGAACCGGATCTATAATTCCACCTCTAGTCAAATTATCCTTTGCAGGAATTCGTTTAGACAATAACCTCCAAAGAAATATAGACACTTTCAACATATCGAATTCGTTCCAAATGATTTTGTTAAACTCTACCAGAACCACCTGTTTAGTTTGGGCCAAAATATTGTACTGACATTTTTTAACGTGCCACTCTCCAATACCTAGCACTCCCGCAAAGTTTCATATTTTCAAAACTATTCCTAGATGAAAAACATACCAAATTTTCGTATGAAATTTCTGAAAGTTATAATAAGATTTTCGGTAGTAATAATGAAATTTCCGATACAAAGTGAAATTTCTGACAGTTTATTTACCGGAAATGTAGTAATTTGTGTAAATTGCAAACTGTTTCGGAAATTTGAAATTTACGTGGTGATACTAGAAATTTTACCTAAGTGAAATTTCCGGTAATTTTATTTGTATGATTTTTAGGATGATTAGAATTTTGCCGACAGTTTTAGATGGCTGTAATTGCACCGATAATTTGTATGGTCCATAATAGACACAAAATTGTATAAATAGGGGTCACATGTTGTTGATAAACACATCTCAGAAAATGTCTTTTCTTCAATTTTTTATTAATACAGAGGTGTACTTCAATAGAGCTTTTCCTCTTGTAGAGCTCCGGCTTTTCGATGGCATCACATCTTTTGTCGACCCGACGTCGAAGTTGAATGAATGTTGTCTGATGGCGAAAACATAAAGGTGAGAAAGATTGAGTTTCATGAAGATTGCATTGATACTAACGAGAGGGTGAAATACAATCTTATTGAGTTGAAGACCGACGAAGATGTGAAGAAAATGTGGAGATCATTTCGACGTAGGATAATAAAGTGGCGATTGAGTTAGATGCTAAGCTTTTAATATCCTTTGACGACATATGCTGAAACATCCTGAAGCGTCTGGTAGTGTTTAGGTTTTTCTTATTTATTAATCATATTGTAGTGTTAAGTTTTTTCTGTTTAAATATGTAATTCATCGTTAAATGTTAGTTAACGTTCACACTACAATCTATGAATGATCAATAATATTAGTTAATAAAGTGTTATGATGAAGATGTCGGACTAATATACAAATAATACAAATAATATAAATAATACAAAAGATATCTAGATAGGCCTTCCACGAGCTATGTGTGCACCCCGAGCTAATCTAGTATAAATCTCACCATCTGAGTTTATCAAATCCATGAGGTTATCCATAATAACTGCAATCATCTAGACGTGTTACTGTTCATCGGCATGATCTGCTGAAGGAGGCGGCAACACGTCATCAACAAGTACTTGGTCATTAGAAGGCCCAACATTAGTTGGAAGTGGGGTGATACGAGAGTGTGATACAGTGAGGTACCACTCTAAATAATCATCCTCACACTGCAAGGAATGATGAACAATGACTGCTCGATCACTAATGGTACAATCAGAGTTGATTACTTTAAAACTATCAGTCCCCTGAAGTTGGTATATCTAGAACTGGTCGTGGGATACTCTGAGCATAGTCATACTATCGTAGACACCTTTCAGACAAGTGTCTAGCAACCATGGTCTTCCACCACATATAATCTAAATATAACAACGATTCCTCGAGCTCACTGTGGACTCTATGACCAGTGTATGGTGTCTAAATTACACATCATCTACAGTCAGCGTATCGAGCATCCTCGTGTACTCAGCAACACAACCAGGATGGGACTGTCTCGCCTTCCACCTTTTTGCACATGGGGTCCCCACCTCGCAATGTTGCACCTTCCTGTCACTGATAGTAGAAAATGCTCGTAATCCAACACTGATATCGAAACAGACACAATAAATAATAAATAAGAAATTCTATTCATAAAAAATAAATACATAAGCAACAATAAATAATAATTTCAAGTATACATGTAACTGACTCAAATAGCTAACAAGTTGTTTGGTCTCAAAGATCGTCGCCACTCCAATGGTTATATACAACTAGGTCAATGTAACACACCCTCAAGCTCAACTAGTGTCCTCGAGGCTACTGAATAGGCACATGTATTGGGCATCAATATAAGTATTAAACTTGTCCGCAAAGAGAGTACATGCTACTATATGTAGCATGTACGCCCTAACGACAACCTCATACCTCCAGTAGCTACAAGCTGATCGTATATCTTCTAAAGCCAATGCATATGAAGGTGCACACACTTGGTCTCACCAAACTCCTTCAGCACCTATGCTTCAAACAAACTCAAATCATATGACACAACCTGACATACAATGATCATGCTAAGAACGGGAACCGTCTAGAATTTTCCGTTGATAGGGAGATGGAACAATGCGGAGACATCATCTATAATGATAGTCATCTCCCCAAACGGAAGATGAAATGATGATGTCTCCTTGTACCACCTCTCAACAAAGGCATTAAGTAATGGAGCGTCCATCATGGTGAGGTAGCAGTGGGGAAAACCAAGTAGCGGAAAATTCCACACACTTGGTTTTACATTTAGTGTGTCTCTCTTCTATGACAACAAAATATAAACAAATTAGTTGATACCTCATGTGACATACATATATAAGCAAAAATTAAAGTTAAACATGAAATACATATACCTCGCTCTGCTATAATCGTAAGGTCACATGCCCAGCATATTTTGTAAGCACTGACTGGTCGATGGGCCCTTCCAAGAATTCTCCATCAGTGTGCACAAATGGCTCAGTCGAAAGAGTCGTAACCTTCGTGTCAGCAGTAACCGATGGGTCAAATCATACCACCATTGGAACATCGACCTCCCACCTGATTGGATCCTTCCACCCTCAAAAACATACCTAGCCATAAATGCCTTAAACCACAAAGCCCTTTGATCGACAAGTAATCTCCAACACCACTTTCCTAACAATTCGAAATTAAATTCCCTCATCCCAAACCCTTAAGTACGCCATGTTCTCTATCTGAGCTTACATTATTCTAATTAACCCAATAATTTTTTATATATTCCTCACTCCCCTATTTCCCATAAAAAAACATTATAGAGGGATTTAATAATATAAATTATAAGTTTTGTAGTTTTTGGATTGACAATATTTTGGTAAAACATATTGTTAGCAAGATGTTAAGCCAGATGTTCTGCTGTGACAGTCAAACATCATATTCAGCATAATATTGTGACATTTGTCAGAACATGTTATACCAGAAAGTTAGAGCATGAATGTTTTGATATTTTTAGTGTGTTTTAATTTACACGTTTGCGTTATTCAATGGAGGATATTTTGGGAACTTCTATTGTGACAAATTTGATTGTTTTTCTTGATCCTTTTTAGGAAACTTTGTATTTTGTTTCTATTTTTATGCAGGAAAGTATCTAATGATTGAAAGCTTGATTCTTGGCGTTTTGCATTTTATTTTAAGAGCCCAAGCCCATGCAGTTGTGATGCTTATTTAAAGGAGTCTCTAAACCTAAAGAAAGCATGGATTTTGAAGAAATTAGGATTAGCCGTGCCTTAGAGTCTCTTTAGTGTTTAGTGTGTTTTTGTTTGTATGTCACTCTTGTATCAGGTTTGATGCATTGAGCTGACTGATTGTTAATTTTTAATTGTCCAATATAAATATTTTAAGCAAGAGTGTATTGGTACTTCTATTTTGGGTAGTGGTTGAATTGTCACTGGTTTGTGACGGATAGGAAGTGAGAGGGGGATCTCATATCTAGAGGGTGTCTAGGTAGAAGTTGCACAAGGTAGTGATTAGGAGAGAAGTTGTAAACGGGGGAGTTTAGTTTTGAACTAATACTATCATAGTGAATTTTCTTCTTGGCTTGGTAGTCCCCAGATGTAGGTGAGTTGCACCGAAATGGGTTAACAACTACTGGTGTTATTTTTCTTTTTCTGTCATTTATTCTTGTTCTACATATTTAGAAGTGATCGAACTTTTTTCATCTCAGTGTTGTGACATTTGTCTCGACACCTGGTATCTGCGAGCTCTACTTGACCACTCATATACAAGTTTTTAATTTTCCAGCCAAATAACCTTTTTCTGAGAGCTCTACAATCAAATGCTAAAAAGAATGCCTACGAAGATTTCTCCCAATAGAGAGTTCAAGATACACAAATGATGTTTGGCCAATTTTACAATTTAGCCCTAGTGACACGTCTACCAACCAAGATTCTGAAGCATTGATTCTCATAAGCATACTTTTATGATAATTCAATTTTAATTCTGAAATAAGCTTAAACAGAATTAGAATGGTCTTCAAAGTTTGAATATTCCTTCAATTTTTCTCACACACTAATAATGTATCATCCACAAATTAGAGGTGAGAGATACCTAAATTCAAATCCGACCCTAACTGATAACTAGAATAAGAACCAATGCTAACAAATGTATTTATCATAACATTCAAGTCGTTTGTTGCCAACAAGAATAGGAAAGGAGATTATGGTTCCTCTTGCTT